TATTAAATAATTAATGTTTAGTTCATGTTCCAGCCAATTTAGCAATGTCATTACATTACATGTTGTAAATGGTGTACCTTCCCTGTTTAAGGATTTTTTCGGAAATTTCATGATTTCCTTAAAAAATTATCTACCTATTTATACTTCTATATTTTTATATATTTATTCTTAAAAAATTGTACGACATGGCATCATTTACAGACCTTAAATTTAGGGTTAAATTGCATTGAGAAAGATATAACCCTATGTAATTTTGGAGGTGAGCAAACAGGATAAAAAATAAACGTTTGCTATTTCAAAATGTCATAGATTGTAATGCAAATAGTAACTCTATAATGGTTATAAATCTACTTTCTTCTATTGGAAAAAATAAGAAAAAAATTGGGATGATTTTTCAGAAAATCTTGAAAAAGTTCCCGGGACCTTATTAAAGTACATCCAAAAATTATAATACAATAACTAAATCTTGGTTCTGACACACAACATACCCAAGTTTAGACACAAAAGTTTCTAATCTGACCAAGGTATGAGCGACGCATCCATCCATACACTTGATTCAAGCACACATACATACATCATATTTGCAAACATACTTGAGTACGTATGAACACACTCGTATGGAAGTACATAAGCTCTATACGTATATGCTCACCGATGTTGTGGTCCTCGTCACCTTCACCAATCTTAACCTCAAGAACAGCATCAATAGACCATCACCTGTAAGCGAAGTTTAAACTCAATAACAATTTAAAGACGGGTTTTACGGAGTAACAGTGATCATTTGAGATTGGAAACATTGGAGGTGATTCCATTCTTTCCTTCAATATACTATAGTTTACAAAGAAATACTAACAGAACTTGGAAGTATTGTATTTATCAAAATAAGATACCAAAATGACACCACGAACAACAAAATTAAAAATCCAATTGGTGATAATCTTTTAAAGGACAGTTTACAATATTCTATGATATATTAAGCATTACAAACACTTTTAGTGTTACAGAAGACAATGAAACTCCAAAATAATAAGAGATCATGCTTGTCGAAACTTGAAAATATTTGATTCTTTTATATTTTATCCTTGGAAAAGTTTTCAAAGCGCCAATATCACAAACTTGGAGAGATTTGGTATTAAAATTGATTTAAATTTATAATACATTTGAAAATTTGATAAATTTCACCAACTTTCCGAGTTGTCGCATAATTCTGAAATGTTTTTAGAGAAAGCAAAAAAAAGATTTTTTTAATTTTAATTTTTTATTTAAACTTCAAGAAAGTAGAAAATTATACGAGTGTGTTTAGCTTCTCAGTGTGTGAGTGAATGAGAGGGAGAACATCTAAACTTCTTTAAACGTGACAAAATGCTTTTAATGATTCGTTTGGATCATAATATTAATATGAATAACTTTTTTACAGGTGAATCGGCTCCTTTAAAATTAATTTGCACGAACAAGTTAATGTAGCGAAAACTGATATGACAGCACCGAAGAATCTTCGGAAAATATTTCACTTTTTTCAGATACACCGTAACAAGTAAGTAATTTAAAGGATGTTTCAAAATAAAATATTTTTCAACCGAAAAATGAAACAAAATAATTCAGTAATATACAAGCTATGTTTTGTATGGAATCGCTGTTATTGATAAAACTGCATTTTCGGCATACTATGATCATAAAATATTTTAGGCGTAGGTTGAAAAGTTTCAATTTAAATTAAATATTAATAATGATATGCTTTTCTGTCTACTAGCGCTGCTGCACTAATACAAAACATTATGCCGAAAATGTGTGCACATAAATACTATTTTATAGATAACCTATTACCCGCTTTGCACATTTTTCATTATTGAAAAAAAAATGAAATAGAGCGAGTGCCGAAAAAAGTTGGAAGCAGGTCAGTTTATGATTTTCGGACGCACTTTATCACACTCGTAATACTCCATTTCACGTGGTTGGGGCAGTCCATAAATTTAATAAATCTAAAAAGGGGGTTTGAGGCAGCGTTAAGCTGCGTTTAAGTATGGGATATTCGATTATTGTTGTGTACAGTGATTTTTTTTACATTTTTCAACATTTGTTGAAATACTTCCTTTTTTGTCAGAATGAAACATGAAAATATTATCTAATATTAATTTCTTTTAAAATAAAATTATTTTAAGTTATTAGAAGTTGCTACTGAATGAATGAATGAAATGAATACTCTTTTTTACTGAACTAACTTTTTACTGAACTTTATTTTCACTATTTGTATTTACATAGTGGTTGGGGTTTGTCCCGAGCGTTACGTAATTAATATGGGGGTTTAATCCTGCGTTATGGGTGCATTACGGGGGGTATTCAAAATATTACAAATTTGCGTTATGTAATTTATGGACGGCCCCTAAACAGAGCTTTCGGATAACGTACGTTTCGGTCTCGATATAGAAGTAACTTTAATGAAGCATTTTCATACATTTGACAAATTTTTTTTACAGGTATACTTCAGAGCAAACAACCTGCTTACTGATGGAACGGGTTGTAGCGAGTCGAGTTAAAGGATCGTGGTTAACTATTGTGGCGTCTT